TATGCCAATGCCAAACCTTGGAATTTGGTCTCCCATACACATGCCCCAGCCAAATTGTGCTATTTATTTACTCGCAACTGTGGTTTTTGTCTGCTGCAGTAAAAAGCCTATTGTTTGGAAATGCCTCAGCTGAGACTATAACACTTAGCATATCAGGAATTTATTTGTCTCTATAGATCAAGTCTCTCCTGCCCCACGCTCCCCAGAAGGATCCAGAACTAGGAGGACTCATCACCTAGGACTGTATTCCTCCTGGTCCCTATTCACTCATCAATTCCAGTCCCCCAGATCCACAAAGGACCCCAAGAGAAATGTCCTAATCAAACCCTACCAGGCAGTTCTCTCTAAGTAAATTATCCTTTCCTATCATTCCATTACGTCCATCTGAATTAATCAGACACACGACGAAGAAGCCTCAATTCACACTGAAATTTGTTAGCAATCAGTGTTGCTAAAGAGAGAAATTCGGAACACAGTACAAGACCATTTAGAAGAAGTGGGGAAATATGCAATTTTATTAATTGACAGGCACTTCAGAAGAATGAGTTTATACATTTCCCTCTCAGTCAAGAGACTATGATTTTTTTAACAACACACTACTACCATGGTGACAGAGATGTCACCAGTGTTTTAGGATGAGCTGCAAATGTTACAGAACTAATGAATTTTCATTAGCATCATCAGACAATTTCAGAATGGGTTAAGTTGCCACCATTTGCCATTCCCATTAATATCATTGTCATGTAAAAAGCTTAATTTTCAGCTATTTTTGTTCCGGATACAATCTTTGTCATTAAAATGAGGGATAATTTTGATATTTAATATATTCCATGGCATACTCCAATGTGGTACTAATTTGGCCTTTTCAGTATTCTGTATATTAATTGACAATCATCCCTCCTCCACTCCCTATATTCGTGAGAACCAAAATAGAACGGACAGCCAATCAAGTGACAGAATACTGAGAAGATCAACACAGAAAACATGTGTTGACCTAATCAGGAACATACACAAGACACCCAAATTATTTTCTCCCAGACTAATCACTAAGAAAGAACAGGAATAGTAAATGATACCATCTGAATCCTTGCGTGTGACAGTTTCATCAAAGTTCTGATTTTAGTCAAATGAAACAATGCATTTGTTTTCCGCTCCAGATTCTGCAACGATTGGCAGAATACGTTGTGCACTGAGCTCTTCATCATAACCCATCCCGTGCATGCACACGTGTCCTAGACGTGAAGCCTGGGCAGATCGACGACAATCGACTGATGATTCCAATAGGTCACCCTTTCCTTCACTTGTGGGATTATCACTCTGGTGAGAATGGGCAACATCTATTTACGAATGTACTGACACTGCCGCTAGAAGCGACTCTCTTTTCCTGGAGAGGCATCTCGTCTGAGGACGGAGCAGGGGATTTTATCCAGAGATCAGAGAATCCCTCACCATCGAGAGCAGTGGTTCTCAACCTTCCGCATGCCGCAACCCTGTAGTACAGCTCCTCATGTTGTGGTGACCCCTCCCCACCAACCATAACTTTATTTTCATTGCTATTTCATAACTGTAATTTTCCTACTGTTATGTATCGGGCGACCCCTGTGAAAGGGTCATTCCATCACCAAAGGGGTCGCCACCCACAGGTTGAGAACCACTGACCTAAAGCAACATTTAAGGCAATGGTGCTGCCCCTTTAAAATTCCAGACAGCAGAAATGATAGCTGCATCAACACAGCAGGTGTGCACTGTGGTCCAACTGACACAATGGAACAGTCCACAAGACCAGGCCTTTTCTACAACAGCACGTGAGTAAAAATAGATTTTATCCAAACTAAATGGGAGTTTAGTAAGTACGAGTTTGTTATCTATAAACCCTATCATGTGCTCTAATAGCAGAAGGAACACAGACATCTACAAATCTTTCGAGTAAAACTTATTTCAAAGGGGTTAAGCCTATTGGTCTTTGGTCATTCTAAGTGCAGCCCAACGCAGATGAAACCCTTGATCCTTTCCTGAGTGGAAGCTCTCTAGAGAGAGAGACAATCCATTGTCAACACAACGTCTTCTTTCAAGTTCAACATGACTGCAAAACAAATATTCTCCCACAAAATATTTCTGTATCTTTCATAGAGGAAAAGGGATACATTTTATTCAGCCACACTAAATGTGAGCCATAGAGAATTTGTTAAATCATAATATGCCTCCTTTCATCCACCGAGATCTATCGCCGACTAATCACCGCTAAGAGTTGCGCTGTCCTTGGGGGGTTTGGGATTCTTCTTCCCCCACCGCACCCCCAGCTCCAAATACTAGAATGGGCTACAGTATCATGGCTCACCATGGACACTGGCGAAAAGTCTACAGAGATCTGGATGAAACAGCAAAGCGAAATGCACTGTCATCCAGTCAATCCAACACCTACCAGCCCTATGAGAGAGAGGAGACCTGCCCTGGGAAAAGCACCGCACGGGGCTCTCTGACCGCTGGCTCTCGCTGCGTCTCTGCACCTTGTCCTTCATCTCCACTGCAAGCTTCAGAGCTGACGTTCCAAATAAAAAGGCAAATATGACAAGAAGAATATTGCTTAACTGTAGCTTTGGGGGGGGCTACTTCAGTATTGTTTTAAGATGATTGCTAGTCTGAATCCCTCTAGTGTTGGATGTTAAATTCCACTGCCTTTTTTCATTTAATTGAATGACTTACTAATGTAAACTTCCATCTCCAACAATTAAATAATATGTCATTTATTCAAATTTACACCAGCTCTAATGTGCCAGCAAACTCCCTCAACAAAACAGACATTTTTTTCTAAAAGGTTCGCCTGAGTCAGGAGCTCTGCTTCCGAAATTAGCAGCCAAGTGTCACCTTGCAGACCTACAAACAACCAGATCATTTATAATAAAACCAGCTTCCCTCTAGAGTGGACAGCCCAGGTCAGACAGCTCAGGGAACTCTGGTTGTCCCACACAGGTCTCTGGACTTCAAAAGCCATCTCCTCCACACATGCTAATCTGATCAACCAATGCTTACCGATCTCCCTGGAGATGTGGGTGAAGGCCTCCACGCCACTCTCCCCGTAGTTCCCCTCAGAAGCCAGCGTCGACACGTAATTCCAGCCCAGCGCTGTCACAATGTCCACCATGGCCTGTGCTTGATAGGAGTCCGGTGGGACGACCCGGGAGAAAAAGTCATACCTGGTGTTGTCACTGAGTTCGGGGGCTGTGGATGCATAGCTGATCTGAGGTATCTGCAATGCAAAGGAGAGTGCGTTTCAACCCATGAGGAAGGGTGTACAAGAGGGATTGTCACAGGGACTAAACTGCCAAAGCTGTGCCAGAGACCCAGAAACCTGAAGCCTTCAAGCTTCAGATCCTGGAGCCAAGAAACGGTTTTGTGACAACTGGTTTAAGTAGAAAGTATTTTAGAAAGGCTTGTGGATTGACTTTCTTTCAAAGCACAATCATTCTAAGCCCAGAGAAGACATTAGTTTTCCTTCAGGTTCCATTGGTTCTGAGGTTAGAACACAACATTTGCGTGTCTTGTTGTGATTGCTTTCTTTATTCTGCACAAGATCAGCTGTGGTGCAAAGATATGAGGCAGAAATGAAGGTCTGCTAGCTCCATGCGTCAGAAAAGGTCGGCCCTGAAATTGGCTATGACCTTAGGAGTTGAAGGCTACACAGTGACTAATCAGGAATTTATTAGATCTTTTCTACACTTGAAATATTTCTGGCCATAAGTTGGGTGTTTGGTAAGATACTTTAAATACATAGTTCTGCAGTTCTAGGTATGGGCCTATAGCCATCAGTTAGTACACCAGAATATTGGGAAACAGCCAACCATGTGGTAGTTTCTCTAATGTAAACATTTTCCCAACCCCTTCAAACAAAAATTATAAAAAAGGAATGCAGACCATCATTTTGCTAGGAAAATGGATTCTTTTCTTACATGAACTCGGTAATTCCTAGAAGATTTTCAAAACAAATATCCCCGCGTGTTTTCCTTAAAAAAAAAAAAAGAAAGCCAAAAAACAATCAAAAAACCAACCAAAGGGGAAAACTAATAAAACAAGGAAAAACAACGGAAAAAAAACAAAAAAAAAGCAAAAGGAAGAAGCCCTGTACAAGCAGGCCTCAGAGGCATTGCAGGGTCATCTCCAGCCAACCACCACAAATATAATATGTATATCTCACAACCAAATGAGTCACCAGATTCATTTTGTTTCCAAGTGCAGGCAACATTCATGTTTGCATTGCAGTGGAGTCTGTTAGGTTTGCAATCGCATCATGAAAATGTTTGAAATACTGCAAGAATCATGAACATGTGATACAGAGACACGACGTGAGCAGGTGCTGTTGGATACATAGGGCAAGAGGACTGCTCAGTGAGGGCTGCTGGAAAGCTCCATTTAGTAGAAGTAGCTATTGGGGATGTGCAATTCAACAAGGAGGCTGGTATAAGGACCTCCATCGAGGCTAGCCTGGGATAGCAAGGGAAGAGTCAAGGAGACTGGAGAAGGGTTGGCTGGGTGTGACCGAGTGTGAACTTTATCCCAAAGGCTGAAGGATGGCACTGAAACGACTGTAAGCAAGAGCAAGCTGTGTGACCGATTTTTGTTCTAGAAAGATCTCACTGGTGGGGAGCAATGGCCCGCAAATTTCAAAATGCACTCGGTTGTTATTCTGGACGTTTAGAGATCTTAATGTGCCTCCACTGGACCACACACTCGGCCTTAAGATACACTGGAAGCTACATAAGATGGGTCACCAGCATTAATAGTTGGTGTAAAACTTTGAATTATCATTATACCTACTAGTCTTTTTGGTAGACATAACCTATCACAGACAGCACTGTGCTTCAAGACAGAACCTCTTAATGAAAGAGGAATGCAATGCCATTGCTGTTCAATGTGTCATCCCTGGCCCAGTCAACCAGATGGGTTTCTGATTCAAAATGGCCAATACCCACCTATGTTAACTCACTAAGATCTGTGATCTCAATCGTTATGTGTTCCGTTTCATTTGTGACGGCTTCCCATTTTCCGAGATTCATACTTCAAACATTCTGTGTTCTGATTGTTAATGGAGGTTTCCATCTCTTTCTTCTCATTTTGAATCATGCCCCATCCACAAATGAAGGGCCCAAAATGTTGCATCCCACAGCGGGAAGGTCCGTTCTAATTTGAGGAGGCAGCTCTTCCCCAGTTACATGTTGAGTGCCTTCCAATCTGAGGAGCTCATCTTCCGGCACGCAACTAGACAATGTTCTCAGCTTCAAAAGGTTCTCAGTGGCTATTTTTTTCAGAAGTACACGCTCTCTGCCTTCTTCCTAGTCCAGCCTTACACTGGACGATCCACTGAAGCTTATTTACCATAGGTGACCCTGCTGGTATTTGAAATAATGATGGCATGGCTTCCAGAATCACAGCAGCATGCTAACTACCGAATTACAAAAACTGACAAACATCCTCAGAACCAGGCCCACAGACAGCATCATGATAAAAAGAGAAAAGACTGAAGGTGTCAAAGGTTCCAGGTACTTGAATCTATGACAAAAAGCTGTGAAAGCAGGAATCAGGAACCCAAAGGACACATTACATGGGGCAATTCTTCCGTATAAGAGCTCTTTGAGTGGACCTTAAGGACTCAGGTATATTTAACCCATGGCACGCCATTTTCAATAGCTTCATATGCGTGTAAGAGCTTGACAATTAGTAAAGATTTCTGAAAAATTGATGCATTTGAATTACAATGTTGGCAAAAAAAATATTTAAAAAACAAGGGACTCCCTGAAGAGCAAACAAATTTGTCTTAGAGGAAGTAAACCAGAATGCTCTTTAAAATCAAAGATGGCAAGACTTCATCTCCTGTACATTGGACATGTTATCAGGAAATACTAGTCCATGGAAAGGAATATCAAGCTTGGTAAGTAGAGCGTCCATGAAAAAGAGGAAGACCCTCGATACGATGAACTCAAGCAGGGGCTGTGACAGTGGGTTGAAGCCTAGTAACAATTGTGAAAATGGAGTAGGACCAAGAAGGGCTTCCTTCTGTTATACACAGGGTCATTATCAGTTGGAGAGGACTCATTAGCACAGCGCAACAAAAATAAGACTCAGGCAAACAAACTTCAAAAATAGTAAGAGAGGTGCCCGTCCCTGGAGAAGGACACCATACTTGGTAAAGTAGAGGGGCAGCCAAAAAGAGGAAAGTCCTCAACGAGAGGAATTGGCACAGTGGTTGCAACAACGGGCTCAGGCACAGGAAGAATTGTGAGGCAGGCGCAGGGCCGTGCAGCGTTTCCTTCTGTTGTGCACATGGTAGCGATGGGTCAGAGCTGGCTCGATGGCATCTGGCAGCAATAACAACTAAGTTAAAACGTGTAGGAACTGATCTGAAACGGAAAGTATCTTAAAGGCAGATACAGGTGTAGGAAAGAGGGACGTTTTATGGAATAGCTCTGTCCGGTGGCTTTTGCAGCAGGATCGATGGTATTGCTATTTATCGGGTTATGAAGATGGAGGGGAGAGATTGTCCGAGCAAAATTTATGAGTTCAACTTTTGATTTGCTGTTTTAATGTCCTTGTGGGCATGACAGCATCTAAAAAAGAAAAGATTGAAGCAGGTGATGAAATTTGGGGACTAGAGCATAAGAGATTCTTGAGACTAGAGCTAAAGATTGTGGAGAGGGCATTGATGAAAATGGTAGTTAAAGCCAAGGGTTAGTTTATGATCATTCAAGGAAAAGATGAAGAGTGAGAGAAGGGCATTTTGGGAGAATGCACCGTATCAACCCTCATGGTGTTGTAGAAGTTCAAAAGGGCTCCAAGATTCCCAGAATGGGTTCAACATGAAAGTTTAGCTCATAAGTAGAATGAGCTTGCTTTCCATCAGCTCCATGCAGCTAGATATTTGGATGTCAAAGGGATCCCATCTTCCCACATGGGACAGCACACCCTGAGATCCAACAGTCAGATCCAGCACCCCTTAACCAGTTAATCCCCAAACCACATAAAGGTTTTGACTAATTTACACCTTTTAAAATACCTCCACATCTGGATGACCTTCCCTGGGCTTAGCGAGAGGTCAGTGGTGGGCCCCCAACTGTTCACCCATGCAGCAAAAGTGGAACTGATAGCTTGGAACTCTCCAAGTGCTGCTATTGATGCCACCAGAATATTCACCCTTCACACCAGCTCTGCTTCAGTGAAACCCGACTGCCTACACCGACTATAACAATGATGACTCAGTCAAGTTTTATCAACCCCCAAATGCTTCTTAGATTTTTCTCTTACTGGGGATCGAGGTAACTTACTAATATTGAAGAGTCCTGAAAGCCAGTCTCACCTGCCTCCTTCCTGCCCTTTTGCTTTCTTGGCCAAATACACTGGCTCCATCTGTGCAGATGCTTCCCTTAATGAGGTTCTGTGCCTTTGTAATGCATGAACAATCAGCAAAAATTCTCTTTCAGAGCTCAAACCACACACCAACCTTGGCCTTGTTCACCTTTTCCTTGCTAGCTTCTAAAGGACCCGAGAAAGAGACAAAGGACGAGACCCAGTGAGAGGTACCCTTCCAGGGAAAGCATTCTCCAAGATCAAGAGCTTATGGATTTCTCTTTCCATGTTCTAATGAAAAGGATTAAGCTGGGTGATCTTCACTTAGGAAGGTGTGTGTGTGTGTGTGTGTGTGTGTGTGTGTGTGTGTGTGTAAGGGGGGGGGCGTGGGGAAGGAGGGGAGAATGACAGAGCCTGGGAAGGCACCCTAAAGCAAATTCTATAGCACTATATCATTTCCCTGTCCTGTTTGGACACATGATTATCCTCCCACTTCCTCAGCTACTCAGAGTCCGGCAGTAAAATACCTTACGCAACTCCCACCCTGCCTCTAATAATGAGCCACCCCTTTCTAAAAATGAGCACAAAGTGTGAAAACTGCATGTTTGAAACGAAAACTAATTATCTCAAATTACTACTTCCAGTCAGTCACTTTCAGGGCTGTTTAATTAGCAGTCAGCATCATGTTTAGGATTAATTAAACAGGTGTAAAGGGTCTATAAAATAAAAGTGCAGATTGAAGATGGTTGTTTGAATAATTAGGTAATGGACTTTCTCCCCAAAGTCTGAAATAGTTCTGTCTTTCCAGATCAATGTGCAGAAAAGCAAAGCGAAAGTACGTGCCTGCATTTCCCATTTGTTCCATTCTTGAGACGGCTCGGTCTACAACAATGTGTGCCAGGGAATGCTGAC